TTAATACAATTAGTTTTTGTACACGAATTAGTGGTACTAATACAGCAAAATTAAAGTATCTAATCAACAGGAAAAAAATATACCATTAAAAGCCTGGATTGGAGACTCGGGTCATACATCACTTTATGACCACATGATTCCTGCGTTGCGTCTTGCGTCACTCTTCCCACGTCACTGCCCTCTTGTTTTTTCCTAATCGATCACGGAGTATACTAGACTCCACTATTGGCCAAAAAAAAAAAGAAAGAAAAACTAGATTCCACTAATGCCCCCTCCCGCGTCACTTTTTCATAAATAAATTAATTTTTTTAGGTCTTTATATCGACAGTAGAATTCAAACTCACGACCTTATGAGTTATGAGTCGACTCTTTATCAATTAGACCAATTCTTATTTATTACAAAAATTGGTTGTTGTTGGCAATGAATAAATAAATTAATTTCTTTAACAGTACTCAAGATTGGTTGTTGTTGGCAATAAATACATAGATTGTTAGAACGGAGGTGAGAACGTGTGTGTACATTTAAAAGAATAATACCCATATCAAATTTTTTATATTTATTATGTCAATTTTTCTAATTATACATGATCATAATCAGTATTTAATCATAAATTCAGATAAAAAAATACATGATCATGTGTAATTGAAAAATTTGATATAAATCTACTTCATATATATTGCATAAAGTGTGAGAAACCAATCACAATGTTAATGACTTTTGAATAGTTATATTTGATAAATAGATCTATATATTGACAAACAAACTATATTGTCTCCCATTCTTAATACAAAATTTAATTTGCAGTCCAAATCAAACTTTAAACTAGATCTCATATATTAGATGTTAGAACAAGGTAGTATATGCTACCTCTTATTTTTATAACAAAAGCTAAATAATAATGGAGGTCGGGGCATATCCAGAAAGAGGAAGAGTGGGGGAGAGAGATAGAGAGTGATAGCATGAGACCGATAATGGTAGAGTTGGAGAAAAGCTTGAAAGCTTCTTCTCCGTCAAGTCTTGTTGTGCTTTTAGTATTATTATGGCTTAACATCACAGTAAGGCCTTCCATGGCCGCACAAACAGTACCAGTAGGAGTCATTCTCGATCTGAACTCAAGACTTGGTGAAATGGTGAACAACAGCCTCGCCCTCGCCGTCCAAAATTACTACTCCGTTCATAACAATACAGCCACCAAGATCGAGCTTGTGGTCTGGAATGTTTCTCAGAACAACATCGTCATCGCGGCATCAAGAGGTAACAAACACTACTTCTCCAATCTCCATCTTCTTAAATTTAATTTCTGTCTAATATTATTTTTTTGACAGATTTTTCGTAATGATCATTGACCAACTAACTTAAAATTAGTCTGAGTCTCATGAGTTTGCCTGGTCCTACTATCATCCGTGACTCATGAATTGTGTGATGTGCTAAATTGTCGTCAAAAACTGCTGGTGACCACCGGCAGCTTCCGGCGACTAGCAGAAGTACGAGATTTTTTTTCTCCCCACAAGTGAGGGACGATAAGGTCATTTTACCTAAATTCTGAAATTTCATTTCGTTCTAGTGGACTGATTTGAAATTTTTTAATCTTGAAGATATTTATTTCTTTTTTTTTTCCAATCTGGCACGAGGGAAATGAAATGAAGGAAAATTTTAATATGCTTGATTTTTTGGAGAAAAAAATTGGAGTAGGAATAAAAGCTTTTATTTAATTTTTTACTTTTTTATCTTACATATGCACTTGATTGAAATTTTAGGCTTAAACATACATTTAGTTATTTAACTTTATATAAAGTTTCAGTTTGATCTTTTAACTTTAAAGGGTATACTTTTAGTCTTTTAATTCTAAAATTATTAGTTTTAAATGATAATTTTTCTATAACAATCATGATTGTTTTGAAAATTAAACTTGGGACCTATTTGGGTGCTCTCCAAAACCATGGTTTGGAAGGCAAAATCATGGTTTGGGTGGGATGTCACCCAAACAGCATCAATTTTGAAAAAATAATCCGAAACCATGGTTTGAGCCAAAACCATGGTTTTAAGAGAAGTAAGGCCCTGTTTGGATAGCAGGCCAAACCATGGTTTGAGAAAAAAAATCCAAACAGGCACAAATTATTTGAAACCATGGTTTTGGAACCCAAAACCATGGTTTCGGGAGAAGTGAATCCATTCTGCTTCTGATTCAAATTAGAGAGTATGATTGTGCCTATTAGAGTAAATCTCAACAATAATATGACTTTAACACCCCTTAATTAATTTTTTATAAACATATTTAATCTTATATCTTATAAATAAATATACACATATTAATTATTTATTAATTACATTATCTTATGTATTATTAATTATGTTGGTAAAAAATATATTATTAACAATTTTATTCCTTCAAATTAAAATATATCATACAATCTATATTTTATGTAATTATCATATTAACTTATGCTTTTTTTAATAATTTGTACATATAAAAAGTGCTTCTGATAACAACTATCTAAACACTCTCACTTCTCAGAATCACTTTTTCACAAAATCTATTCTTTACAAAATCTATTTTTTTTTAGAATTTATTCTCCAGAAGCTATTCTCCAAACCATGGTTTGGTTTCATCCAAACACTCGAATCTATTATGTTTCTAGCTCAAATTGGAGAGTATAATTGTGTTTGTCAGAGTAGGTTTCAACAATAATATGACTTTAACATCCATCAATTATTTTTTTATAAACATATTTAATTTTATATTTTATAAATATATATATACATATTAATTATTTATTAATTATATTATCTTATGTATTATCAATTATGTTGGTAAAAAATATATTATTAACAATTTTATTCCTTCAAATTAAAATATATCATAAAATCTATCTTTTATGTAATTATCATATTAACTTATACTTTTTTTAGTAATTTGTATATATAAAAAGTGCTTTTGATAACAACTATCCAAATACTCTCACTTCTCAGAATCATTTTTTCACAAAATCTATTCTCCCTAGAATCTATTCTCCAGAAGCTATTCTTCAAACCATGATTTGGTTTCATCCAAATACCCTCTTAATATGTTAGCATTTAGTAATATTTTATCCACATTTAATAGTTCAATGTCATCATTTTTTGTTGACAGTTCTATGATTAGAAGATTAAAAGTTTACTTTTTTTAAATTTAAAGGACTAAAATAAAACCAAACCATAGTTTAGAAAATAGCTTCTGGAGAATAGATTTTGGGGAGAATATATTTTAGAAAAAGTAGATTTTCTGAAGAAGTGATTCTGATAAAGTGAGAGTGTTTGGATAATTGTTATTAGAAGCACTTTTCATGTGTACAAATTACTAAAAAAGGCATACAAATATGATAATTACATAAAAGATAGATTTTATAATATATTTTAATTTGAAGGAATAAAATTATTAATAATATTTTTTTACCAACATAATTAATAATATATAAGAAAATATAATTAATAAATAATTAATATATGTATGTATATTTATAAAAAAAAAGATTAAATATGTTTATAGAAAAATGAATAAAAAAGTGCCATAATAATTAAGATGTTGCATCGATATGGAGCATTCATAATAAGTTTTTTTTAACTATATATTACCAGTTTGGTCGAAGCTTTCTTTCAATAGAAGTTTAAGACCTTGTCTGCATATTAACTCTTCAATTAGGTTTTACATTAATAACCGGAAAAATAATCTTACATTTAAGACCAATATTAACTCTATAATTAGGTCCTACATTAAAGACCGGAATAATAAATTTGTTAATTTTTTTTGCCAACATAATAAACAATGTATGAAAAGCATATATTAATTACTATATCCAGTTCTAAATATAAGAGCTAGTTGACTAATTTGAGTAGATTAAAAAAATAAGTTAAGTTAGTTATTTGTAATAAATAAGTGTTGCTTTTCCTACAATATCTCTATTAATCAAGTTTATTGGTTATAACTTGAAAAACAATAGACAAATATGAGAAATAAAGTTGATTGAGATTTTATATTTAGGATCAAATAAAATTCAAATGAGGTCTTATATTAAAGACAGGATGTAGTAATTGTTAATATGTGTATATATAATTATAAAATATAAGATTATGTTTTTAGAAAAATAAATAATTGTTTTCAACCAAAAAAAAATTACTGTGGGGGTGGGGGAGAACCGCTCAAAAAGAAAATTTTTTTTGCTTATTACAAAACCTTGGTTTTGATAGGCAAACCATGGTTTTATGATAAAACCATGGTTTCAAAAAATTGATGGGTGTTTGGGTAATTTTTTTCCCAAACCATGCCCAAACATCTCCAAAGTTAAAGGTTTAAAAGTATCCTTGAGCCAAAATTTTATAACTTCATTTTTTTATTTTTCTAAATTGATCCTATTAAAATTTTCTCTCTCCTCTCCCTCTCTATTTTCTTCATTAAATTTTGGAAAAATTGGGAATAGATTCCTGATTAGGAATTTCATTAAAATTGAGTTGCACAAAGTTCTTATGTGTCATTTGCCAATTAAATTCTCAACGAGAAATTTATTCAATTTTCCCTTAATGTTTCATGCCTGTCATAAATAGGATATTTCATTTTATTTATTTAATATAATATGGTTTTTTATCTGTTCTCCATTCCTGTCTCCCTGCCTCTCCCAATTAACATAGAGTAGGCCCATTTTGTTACCACTTCCGTCATCATTATAAGTCCATCCTTATTATAAGTCACAAGCAATTTATTATCACATATAAAAAAATGCGTGATAAAATTTTTCAAATTTATCCTTCGTGAAGTTTGTTCTTTCCCTCAATTTACAAGCCATTTTCAAATGTCTCTCCTTTTTCCCTCTTTTCAACAACAATAAAACGAAGGTAAAATTAAAAAACAATTATTAGATACCGTGCAAGTGATGACTTATAAGAAAGACGGAATTGGTATAAAATAGGCTTACTTCATGTTAACATGGAGAGATCAAGGTGATAGGACTTGGAGACACCCTTTGATATGCAAGCAGCTTATTATCTCATGAAAAAAGTAAAAGTACGTGCCCTGTTGGGGCCGCAGAATTCAGAGCAAGCAAGGTACATTGTGAGACTTGGTGAGCTATTCCAAGTTCCCGTCATTTGGTTTCCCATAACTGGTCCATCTCTTTTGCCACCGCCATCTCCATCCTCCATCTACATCGATCAAGGCCTTGATTGCTATCAGTTCCAAGCCATAGCCGCCAGTCTTAAGGCTTTTGGGTGGCAATCAATCGTCCCCATTTATGAAGAGACTGAATATGGCAGTCATCTTGTTCCATGCCTCACCAATGTCTTGAAAGAGATGGGCATACGAATGGCTAACGTAACTGCCATTACTTCAGATTCATCAGATCTTGCAATTAACATTACTCTTAACAGGTTAAACAACATGCGAACACATGTATTTCTTGTCCATATGAGCATGGATCTCGGAACAACATTTGTTTTGTCTGCACAAAGGAAAGAGATGATGGGTGAAGGATATGCTTGGATACTTACGCAAGAGCTATCTTCTTTGACAGATCCTCAAGTTACAGTCAAGAGAAACTTGTATACTGGCCAAGTCCTATCTGGGAGTTTTACTGATTTCTTTGCTTTGAAAAGGTATATGCAAGGTGCATTGGGAGTGAGGCCAATGGATTCTAACAAAACAGATGTGCGTAAGGGGATAGAGAATAATTTCACTGCTAAGTTCGGAGGAGCTAGTCTAACTATCTATGGATGGTGGGCTTATCACACAATCGAAGCATTGGCTATGGCATTAGAGAAGCCAGGCGCAGACAATAATGGCACAAAACTTCGAAGTGAAATTCTGGCTACTAATTTCACAGGCGTGTCAGGGATAAATTTTAATTTAAAAGGAGGACAACTAGATCAATCAGTGCTTGAAGTATACAATGTGGTAGGAACAAGAGAAAGGATCATCGGATCTTGGAACCCCAAAGATGGATTTGTTCAAAATAATAGTAAAAGTGGCGAGGTATCTGGTGATGGATACCAACTAAGTGGTCCACTGGCACTGTGGCCGGGTGACACATTGGATAAACCACCAAAGTTGAGAATAGGGGTCCCAAGAACAAATTCTTTTCCTGAATTTGTGAATGTAGATAATTCTAGTAAGCATCGGATTGATGGCTTTGCTATTCATGTGTTCTTAAAAGCTATCGGTCATTTGCCGTTTCTGTTAAATAATTATGAGTTTGTTCCCTTGCCCAAAAAAAGCGACACTCCCACAAACTATGATGATATTCTCTGCAGCCAAATGAAAGACGAGGCAAGTTCGCATGCATTCTTGTCTTTTTGAGCTGGCTTACTTTGTCAATTTAACTACAAGTTCATCTTCACACTTGCTCTGTATATGAAAATATTTGCAGGATCTTGATGCTATAATTGGAGACATCACAATTGTAGCAAAACGCACAAACTGTGTTGATTTCACGTTGCCGTATCTAGATTCAAGCGTAGCAATGGTGGTAAGGGCGAAGGCCTACAGAAGTAAGGGAATCCTCTTCAAACCTTTCGATTGCTTACTATGGTTAATTCTTGGTGTGATTTTTGTGGGCGCAACAGCCATCATAATTACGTTAGAAAAGAAAAAAACCCCCGAAAGAGACAGAACCAACGAAGAAGACAAAACTAAAGAATTTCGCTTCAACCCTTTCCTTGTTTACAGGATGGGTGAGTTCTCTTACGTAGCATATATACTATGCTTATATGTTATTATGTTTCAATTTGTGTCTCATTCGTACTCTATCATACAGTACCCTTGATATCAATGTTCTATGTACGATATCAATATTACAGATGCTATGGAGTTTAAAAGCAAATCTGCAGGATGGATGGTGATACTGACGTCACTCCTATTCATCTTAGTAGTGCAAGTTTACACGGCGAATTTGACTTCCATTTTAACACAAGGAGAGAAGAAAGAGCCTGCATTTAAGGACGAAAATGGGGTTAAAAGTAGCAATGTGTTTGTGGGACATCGAAATGGGTCGTGGGTGAAGGAGCTTCTGATTAACCAAATGGGATTCGACCGGTCTCGATTAAAGGCTCTGGCAACTCGTGAGGAGTACAATTCAGCATTGTCAAATGGAACAGTGGAAGCAATTTTTGATGAAACTCCCTATCTCACGCTCTTTCTCTCCAGATATAGATCTGGCTTCATGATGACAGGACCAATCTATAAAACTGGTGGATTTGCTTTTGTAAGTTTACTCCTTTTTACTCTTCCGGTCTTAATTAAGGCAAAGTTAGCGTAACTAGCTTCACGTTCACAAAGAGTGTGGCAAATTAGAGTTAACTATATATATATTTATTTATTTATTGTATTTCTCAGGCATTCCCAAAGAAATCTAGCCTGGCCTTCCATTTCTCGGATGCAATCTTAAAGGTGAGTCAAGATGCAGAGACATATCGTGCGCTGATGGCCAGGACCTCCTTACCCACCTCCATTGAAGATTTCATTTTTGAAGACCAAAGTGATATTGAAACGACAAGTTTGAAAATAGATAACTTTGGAGGCCTTTACCCCGTCCTAATATCTGTAATAGTTCTCTTAGGCGCTGCCATTCTGAATTCATCAGTAATTCGATGCTTGCGTAGCAAGCGGTTCCCATTCCGAATCCATCGTCAGTGATTGAACAGTTGCGTAATAGGAAAGTATCCCAAGTTAGCTAATAAGGCTTAAGTATACATTGGAGAATTCCCAGGTAGCATGTGTGTATATATAAAGCTTGCTCCTTGCTATCCTATGTACTTTTCTGTAATGAATACCCCTTTTGTTCTTATTATAAGGCATCTTCTAAAAAGTATTCTTGGTCTTTTTTTCTAAGCCATTAGTTAATTTTATAGAGTATTAAATACTTTTTTTTTTTTTACATATATACCCATATCTAATAATTAAGGGTAATGAGAGAGAAGAAATTAATATCATATTGGAGATTCATGTAGTTAATAGTATAATATTAAAAATCGTTTGAATTTTGTGACAAATTTAATGTTTTTAGGTATCTTTATTACTCCCTCCGTTCCTTATTATAAGAGACATATGGTGCTTATGGCATGTTCCTATATATAAGAGACACTTAAAAGTTATCTCTACTTTTTTGTGTTGATTTCCTATTTTACCCATATTTATTGTCTCCAACTCACACTCTCTCTCCTTCCTACTTCTCTTTCTTTTAATAAATTACCATTGTTCTCTCTCCTTATTAATGAGAGTATTTTTGGAAAAAAAATTACACTTTTTACATATTACTTGTTCTTAACTAATTTTAACTGTTTTTTTTATCAACGTGATTCGGTTATTCGTCTCTTATAATACGGAACGGAGGGAGTAATAAGAGTGAATTAATTAGAAGTGATTTATAGTTGAGATTAAGAGATAGTAATTTGTGCTTTTATTTTATTTTATTTTTTTTATGGCCAACCATAAACAAGTATTAACTACTAATCAGAAAACAAACGTCATATTCCTAGGGAAGGGGCACATACATTGGAAATCATGAAGTTTAATTTAAGACCAATTAGAGATCGAAAGAGCCAATTTATAATAGAATTTGATAAAACATGTTTCGTCTATATTGAAGGTAAAAACCACACTTTCCTTAATCACAAACAAGAGTAAGATATCATGGAGAAGAAGAGGAAGTTTGGTGAAAGAAGAAATCTGTTTTTAGGCCGACATAGTTAAGCAACTCAAACATGTAGTAATTGAAATATGGGGAGACTTTCATTTAAGTCCCACAATCAGAATTTAATATCCAATTAGGCCCAAAACAATATGAAATTTTATTTCAATCTCTTTGGATGAAATTAACTTTGAGAGGAAAATGACCAAGTTGCCTCTAAACATTTTAATGACCTCATGGGTAAGTTTACAAGTCAAAATGTACATTCTAACAACAAAAAATAGTTAAATAACAATTGCATATATGAAAATTTACAGCTTCCAACTTTTACAATAACAAGATATGAACATGAAAAATTCACAAGTGATTATAAGTAAGTTTACAAATTTAGAATATGCATTTTTAACAACAAAAAACGTTAAATAACAATATACTGATTTTGTTTACGATAATTGTGAACATACAAAGTTTGCAAGTGCTCATGGATAACTTTACAAGTCAAAATATGTATTTTAACCACAGAAAGTAGCTAAATAACGATTATACATGTAAAAATTTATAACCCTCAATTTTATAATAACAAGTTACAAACATGAAAAAATCACATACTTGAGCAGTTGAACGTGTGGATATGGGTATGAAAGGAATGTGTTATTTTATGAAGGGTATATATCATGAAAATTGATAGTTATAAATTTTTATATGTGCCTTTGTTATTTAGCTATTTTTTCTTGTTAAAATGCATATTTCAACTTGCAAACTTAACTATGAGCACTTATGAAATTTTCATGCTCATAACTTGTTATTATAAAAATTAAAACTTATAAATTTTCATATGTATAGTTGTTATTTAGCTATTTTTTGTTGTTAAAATACTTATTTTCACTCGTAAAGTTTTCATGTTCACATTTTGTGATAATGAAAATTGATAGTCATAAATCTTTATATACAAATATATATTATTTATCTTCTTTTTTTTGGTTTTCTAAAATGTGTACGTACCTACCCATGAGCATTTATGAATTTTTCATGTTCACATCTTACTATTATGAAAATTGGGAGTTGTAAATGTGCACATATATAGTTGTTATTTAGCTATATTTTGTGGTTAAAATGCATATTTTGATTTGCAAAATACCTGTGAGGTTGTTAAAATTTTTAGGGGCAATATGGTTTTTTTTTAAACTTAATTTCATTTTGGGCCCAAGAGACTGACATGAAATTTGAAAATATCTCGGGGCTGATGGGAAATTTAGCTTAGATTGTGGAACTTATATGACATTCTCCCTTGAATATAACCCATATTTGGTGGTGAGTCTCCATATATAGGATAATATTACGACATTTTGGAAAATTCGAGAGGCATATTACCCCACTTAATAATTTACTTCCCTACTCATTTCTTAACATAAAAACTAATTAACTAATTTAAGTAGATTAAAAAAATTAATTAAATTAATTATTTGTAATAAATAGATATTGTATTTCCTAAAATATCTTTCTTAATTAAGTGTATTTGTTAGAACTATCACTGTTACAAGGATTAACTTAAAAAAATAAATAAATATAAGAGACAAATTGGATAAAGATATTATATTTAAGATCAAAATAAAAATTAAATAATTTGTTATATTAAAAATAGGAGGTAGTATACCACACTACCTTCAATCTTAATTATAAAACCTTGTTTATAGTTATAAATAAAATTTATAAACTATAAATAAGATCTAATAATTAAAATCGAAATATAGAAAATAATATACCGTTTGTTGGAGCACAATTTAATGACAAATTTGTTGTAGCCATAAATCCCATCAGGTGGTTAACTAAGAGACAAAGTGGCACAAATCTCGAATACAAAATGATGATTTAACGGAGGGAAGCATCGTGGCCCGTGTGGTTGTCCTTGCTTTTCCATTTCTCATCTTATTCTGCGGTTATGCTTTTGCCTTTTAACTTGTTTTCCTATTTTCTTCTCTCTTCCTCTCTTTTGTCCCACTGAAAGATTTTGTGATGAGCACTCAGATTCTCTCGCAAAGGCCAAACTTTTTCATAACAACCATCGTATTAATAGTCTCAAGAGTTCAAATGAAAGTTACTCGTGCTAAATAAAAGGAAAAATTTGTTTCAATTTATGAAAAAATATTTTTAAAAAGTATTTTTGGACAAATCCAAATACCCCCTAAATGATACACTTCCTAACCCTATTATAAAGGGTCTTTTAAAAGAATTTTTGATCCACAATATAAGTTACTTAAAGTATTAATAATACTTACCTTCTAACTTTATCCTTAAATTAATGATTAAATGCATTCTTTCTATTTTCCTTGCTCCTTCAAATATTTATTAATAAACTTAAAGTTAAATTTTTTTTATCAATTTAAGATAAATTGGATGAATTAAATCTCATTCCTTGATTCTTATAATAATAAGGTACCTAAGGAAGTGCTCTTTAATTTTAAGATTTACTTTGTCACAAAATATAAGTATTAAATAAAAATAATAATTATAGTTTTAATTTTGGGAGAATTATACAACGAAGTTTTAAGAAAAGAAAATAATTATTAATAAGTTTTAATGATAAGTCAGCAGTCGTTATTTCTTACTTTGAAACTTGTTTATTATCGAAATTTTATAGTAATTATGTTTTTCATTTGGGGTTTTCTAGAAATTTTTCCTTTAACATTTTCCGTTCACGTGCGCCCCCACTTCATTCATCCCGGTGAATTCTTAAGTCGCTATCTTCTTTTGTTACCTTTTCTCAATGTTCTTTTACTCCTTGTTGGATCCAACCCAGTGGCCATTATCATTTAGCAAGGGAGAATGTCATCTGCTATGAAAAGGAGTTTTTTGGAAAGCAATGGAGGAACTATGTGTGTCGCCGTCATTGTTCTCGTCGTCGTGTTGGTAAGTCATGCGAAAATGGAGTTGAAAATTATGAAAGAGAACTTATGAAACAGAATATTGTTTTTGTGTTAATAATATTTTCTTAAAATATTAATACCTTCTTGGCCAAATGGGGTAAAGATAGTCAAATGAATTAGTTAAAATAGTATTTTAGTCTTTTAACATATAGGTAGACTTGGTCAATTTTAGTTTTCTTAAAGGACAAAAATGCCCTTGTGTCGTCATGAAGCACATGTACTATTAATGTTGTTAAGACTTAAAGAGGGAAAAAGGGGAGGATGTATAAAATGACAGCAAGAGTTGAGGAGAGGAGGAAAGGGAATAGCAGAAATGGAGAAAAGGGGAAGAGAATCTCTCATATGTGTGGGCTTATTGTGCCTAATGGTAACCCTAACAGAGTCCAAGACTGTAACCATACCAGTAGGAGTGATTCTGGATTTGAACTCATCACTTGGTAACACCACTCTCAACTGCATCGACCTCGGACTCTTCGACTTCAACTCCACGCATGGTTCCTACGCGACCAGGCTCCAACTCCATTTCAGGCATTCTGGAAACGATCTCCTCACTGCAGCTAGTGCAGGTAATTAATTAATCTCCCATAATAGCCTGTCCTCAATTATTACTGATGTTTACAAAACTAGAATGATATTGTCAAATTGTTACGAGTTCCACCTCTGTTCTTCTAACCTGTTTCTCTTTCTTCATGACATGTTACGGAAATAGAATCCCCTGACTCCCTCCCCCCTCAGCTTTACTTTAGCATTTCCTGTGACTCTCTCTCTCTCTCTCTCTCTCTCTCTCTAATAAGAGGTCATTCAATATCCAGAAACATTTTATAAAATTAGAGAAGTGAGTGTCCACTTTTTTCATATATACAGTCTCCTAAAATCTTAGGTTGTATGTAAATATCCTTCATCATTTTTAAACTTTTACAAACTTTTGCATTAAAGAAAATAACCCCCTGCCGTTTCTTTAAAATAATATAATTTTATTATAAGGTTAAAAAAATTAAATTGATTTGATCAATAACAGAATAATTTTTTGTTATTTATTATTTATATAAGCCTAAAATTTTAGAGGGATTCTTTATCAATTTTTACTCTTATTACTCAGCTCACCTGTACGTTTTGAGTAGTCTTCTAGTCTCTTGGCATCTTTTCTTCACACTGGTCTGGCTTTTGTATAAATTTTACGAAGTATTTGCAAATTATACTAAAATTAAAAGTTCATCTTCTAAAAATTTAAGACTAAAATACTTCTTCCAGTCCTTAATATAACAACTAATTGACTAATTTGAGTAGATTAAAGAAACCAGTTAAGTTTATTTATTTACAATAAATAGGTCTTGTCTTTTCTAAAATATCCTTGCTAATCAAGTATATTGGCTAAAATTACAATTATTACAAGGACCATACTGAGAAAAAAATGAATAAATATGATAAACAAAATGAATTGGAATCTTATATTTAGAATCAAAATAAAAGTCAAACCAACTCTTATATTAAGTATATTAAGTAGTACCACCCTCCCTTTATTATACAAGAAAAAAATATACACAAATACAGATCACGTAGAAGAGCCATTTTGCGCCCAAATTCTAGCGAACTCAATACCATCACTTTTTCCCTCCCTCTGTGTTTTGGGTGCGCTTGTGTCTCTATATCATTTTAATTCTTTTAACTTGGTAGCGTTGGCATTAAGCAGCTTGGAAGCTAATAAATAAAAGAAAGGTGCATGCAATCCTGGGACCTCAAAACTCAGAGCAAGCAAGGTATGTTGTAGAATTTGGTTACAAGACTGATGTACCAGTGATTTGGTTTTCTCCATCTGGTCCATCTCTGTTGCCACCTCGTACCCGATTCTTCATCCACTCCAACTCCACCAGAAGCCATTGCTCTCAGTTCGAAGCTATAGCAGCCATTATCGAAGCTTATGATTGGCAGTCTGTGATCCCCATTTATGAAGATCCAGAATTCGGCAACGACCTCATTCCATGCCTCTCTTATGCCCTGCAAGACACGGACACTCGAATGCCTTACATAAGTGTCATCAATCAAACTTCCACGGATTCTCAAATCGCCGATGAGCTTAACAAGATAAAAGCCCAGCGAACATTTGTGTTTGTCGTTCATATGTCTCTGGAGCTTTGGTCAATATTTGTGGAACATGCCAAAAATGCGGACATGATGAGCGAAGGATACGCTTGGATACTTACGCAAGGCCTGTCTTCTGTGATGAATCCCGAAGCTTTAGATGTCAGAATGAAAGGCTATATGGATGGGGCTTTGGGTGTGAGGCCATTCGTGTTATCCAACTTAACTAAGCGCCTTTCCTTAGTTAGAAAATTAAAGTCTGAGTACAATAAAACTCTTTCTCTAAATGGCTTGTGGGCTTATGACACTATCACAGCATTGGCCAGAGCCGTAGAGAAGGCCGGCTTAGTCAGTTTTAATGAAAGTGGAGCTGATCTTCGCAACGAAACAGGCCCAGAACTTCGCGGAGCAATTCTGGATACTGATTTCGTTGGCTTGTCAGGGAATTTCAATTTGAGGCAAGAACAACCAGAACAATCACATGTTGTGGTATACAATGTGCAAGGCCAAAAAGAAAGGACAATTGGATATTGGAGCCCCGAAAAAGGACTTGTTCGAATGCAAAGTGTACGTGGTGAACCAATATGGCCGGGTAACACAAAGGAGATCCCACCCAAGTTGAAAGTTGGGGTCCCAAAGACGCATTTTACTGAATTTGTTGATGTTAATGGGAGTGTAGAAGGGCAGCATGTATCAGTTGCTGGCTTTGCTGTTGATGTATTTAAGCAAGTGGTTGGCCTCTTGCCATTACCTATACATTATGAGTTTGTGCCTTTGTACAACAGTGATGGAAAGCTGACTCCCTTCAGCTATGATGATCTTCTCTGCCAATTCGCAGACAAGGCAAGTTTTCATTCATTTCTGTTGCTTTCAATTGCTTTAACTTGATCGGCTTTTCTGTTTCTCAGTTTCTAGTAAAGGGAAGTCAGGCATGTAGTTGTATATTATCATTGATGATTTAATTCCCCCTGAAGCTTGGATACACTCAAGAAATAAAAATCATATGGGGGGCAAACAAAAGTTGGAAAATTTCCCCCCGAAATTAGTATGATCTACATGTACTATAATTCATGTATATTACAAGTGAGTGAGAGATATTAATTGTCTTGATCTTTCCACTTGATAACTGATATCATCAGTGAGCATGCTAGCCACGAACACACAACATATATATATATATATATATCTATAGAGGGATTCATTTCCAACACTTTATCCTTGTATGAAAATATTGCAGAAAGTTGATGTTGATGTTATAATTGGAGACATCACAATTGTAGTGAATCGCACAGATTATGTTGATTTCACAATGCCATATTTAGATTCAAGTGTGTCCATGGTGGTAAAGGTGAGGTCTGACTCCAAAAGCAGGTGGATCCTCTTCAAACCTTTTCATTGGTTACTTTGGTTCATTCTTGTTATGATTCTTGTGGCTGCGACCGTTATTGTAATTATATTGGAAAAACAAAAAGAAAAGAAAATGAAGGATGATGTCAGAGGAAGCAAATCCGAAGACTTTATCCGCAATCCCTTCCTTATTTACAAAAGCGGTGAGTTCTCTTTTGTCGTGCGCTATTGATTATATATACACACACTACTCTCTTCCTGTGTATTTATAGGTCACTTTGTAAAAGTTCTTTACGTTTCTATTTACAAACGACTTAGTAAAATCTATGAAGTAATTGTGGTTTTTCTTGATACTGCTCTTAGTTGTATCAACTTGTTGCTCGTACTGATCTATGTGACACTTTGTTGTGTGTGGTGATTGCAGATGTTGGGTTTTTGAAAAGTGGCACATCTAGAGTGCTGGTGATAGTGGTCATGTTTATATTGACCATAGCGCTGCAAGTTTATACAGCAAATTTAACATCAATTTTGGCAGATAGGACAAAGCCAAAGCCTCCTCCATGGAAGGACGTGCAAGAGATTAGAAGGGGCAATCGGACAGTGGGATATCAAAAGGATTCCTGGATGAGAGGGTTTCTGATTGACCAATTAGGATTGAAGGATGATCAGTTAAGGGCTTTTACAAGCCGTAAAGAGTACAAGGATGTTTTATCAAATGAAGACAAAGAAAAGGGAGGAGTGGATGCTATTTTTGATGAAACTCCTTATCTCAAGCTCTTCCTTTCCCAATGCCCTTCTTGCCAAATGGTAGGACCAATATACAAAGCGGGTGGATTTGCCTTTGTGAGTACTCTTCTTCTCATCCCAATATATATATATATATATATTACGAGGATAAGACACAAATTTGTCTCGAAAATATTCGTTCAGAAGTAATGTTGTCCCGAAATTTTTTCTTAAAGTTAAATGTTGCCCTGAATGTTTTAATAAAATATAGCAATATTGCTTCATAACATTAAAAAACTGACATTGATGACCGTCAATATTTTTAATGGTAAATAGTGATGTTGCTCTATTTTAACACTTCCAAGCCAATCTTAAACCTAAAAGAACTTCGGGACAATATTGTTCCTGAGTAAAAACTTTCAAAATAAATTTATATCATAACTCTGTATTATATTCCATATGATCCATAAAACTGTGATAATGTTCATACCATGCTGTATTTTTCAGGCATTTCCAAAGAACTCTACCTTGGTCTCGAATTTTTCAACTGCAATATTGGAAGTGACTCAAAATGTGACGATGTTTCGTGAGATGGGGGAGAAGATATCTTTACCCATCACAGTTGACAGATCCGAATATAAAAGTAGTGTTGAGACGCGAAGTTTGAAGATAGGTGACTTTGGAGGCCTTTTCCCAATCGTATTGTTTGTTTTGGGTCTCTTCTTCTGCCTTTCAATTCGTAACAAATTGGTTTCATGTTGGCACAGTCTCAGGCGGAGAGAGTAATATTAATTAGTACCCAACTAATTAAACATCTGTAAAATCAGTGTGTTTTATGTTTGTGTGTGTAGCTTATATTATTGTGAATAGTCCAAGTGATAAGAATGAGGTGATGAAAGACTTCAAAAAGTTTACGACCTTCGTTATTTTGTAATAATTCTTCAAGTTGTGTATTATCTTCAGTTGGCTTAGTATCTGGTCATCTTAATATCCATCATGTCTGTGTGTTTGTGTGTTAAGAGTTGAGAGAAATGTTGTTTTATGTATTATTGCAGTTAATATTTGTGTCAAATGATTAGTTAGTTAGAATATAATCTTTATAATTCAGTATATGCATCTATCAATTTACGTGTTGTTTGTTCTTACATGCTTAGACATCTTGTGGAAATTTCCTATAATATTACCTTACCACGATATAATATATATATATATATATATATATATATATTGTAGTTTTTTAGTTATAAAGCTGAAGGAGGAAGTTTTGAAGAGAGAGGTCTATAATGTAGCGTCATTGTATTATTACATCGGAATGAATTTGGCGTGAAATATTTATAAGTTTAAGAATAGTTAAAATCAATATTAAAAAAAAATACTCTCTTCATTGCTAAAATAATTTATAAAATTTTAGTAGTAAGTAATACTACTTTCATGCCTTAATATAAGACTCAGTTCAATAATTTATAATGTAGTAACTTCTCTAATTTCTTTAAATTAGTCAGCTATATCTTATAGAGTCAATGTAGTTTTTTTTTTTGGTTTGTAAAATACCCTTAATCATTGAATGAAAAGACTTAGCCCATATTAGAGTTTGAAAAATAATGAGCATTAATTGAAAGCAGAAGAGGAAAGAACGGGGAAAAAACATAAATTAGTTAAAATTTTCTGTGGCCTACAAAAGGTATTATTATCATCCTTCTGTGCTCCTTCCATTCATCATTAGTCCTCACTCCCAACCTCTTTGGGTTCAACGGACGTGGGCTCCTCATTGGACTTGGCCCAGCCGAAAAGGCCCAGGAACTGCAGATTTTAGCCGCACAATCTTGAGTAAAATCAAATTGAGTCATGAAATCATCAACTCCTTGTTTTTTTTTTTTTTTTGACCGGCATCATCAACTCCTTGTTAACTAATAGACATTGTACCAAATGAAATGAACCAGTCCTTCACAACTTTTACGAATCAAGATTTCAATTCTCACTGAGAAAGGTATTTTTTATATTAGTAGAAAAATACATGTGCCCAACAAAAAACAAAATCATTATTACAAATAGTATTTAATTAGATGTTTTGACAGCCAAAAAAAAAGCTTTTATTTTATTTTTTATTATCGTAGTGTTATCTTAAACAGGAAAACCTAATGTGTGATATATTAGTCATTTTTAAAAATAAATTGGTACTACTGTACATTAATCATTTTACATAAGAGATTAAACTATTACGTAATTTTTTTTCAATATTGCTCTATTTACAATTTCCTAGAATTTGACTTTTTTTTTTATTAAATTCATGTTTTTAAATAGGGGGTTAACGAGAAATTTTTTTTAGTATTTTTAGCATAATAATAATTTAATTACGTTTTTAGTTCTTATGATTGTGATGAGGTAATTAGAAATGTCTATATTTAAAATTGAAGAGAATTCATGTGTGCGCGCGCCTACAATGATTAATTTAGTGTCTTTTGGCTCTTTTATGTAAGGGTCAAGTTCTTCAGCCCAAAAAAAAAAAACAAAAAAGATCTAATTTTGTCCCTGAAATTTGTACATAAGCTGCAAATGAATATTTAGAAGTTTTTTTTTTTTCAATGTCACCATGCTCTAATATTTGATATTATATGCCATGCATGATTCTACATAAGCATAATTATGCTTTAATCATTTTTTTCTCGAAAATTTTAGCAAAAGAGCAATGTTGCTCAAAAAGCGTAATAAAAAAAAAACACAGAGTAATATCACTCAATTTTTTTTATTTGATCAAATGTTCTCCTTTCGAAACTTAGAATGCAAAAGATTTTCGCATCTCTCAACAAAAACAATATACCAAAAGAAAAAGCTGAAGAGAGCGGCACATCTAAATGGCTGGTGATAGTGGTCATGTTTATATTGACCATAGCGATGCAAGTTTACACCACAAATTTAACATCAATTTTAACAGATAGGACAAAGCCAAAGCCTCCTCTATGGAGGGACGTGCAAGAGATTAGAAGGGGCAATCGGACAGTGGGATATCAAAAGGATTCCTGGATGAGAGGGTTTCTGATTGACTAATTAGCATTGAAGGATGATTAGTTAAGGGCTGTTACAAGTGGTAAAGAGTACAAGGATGCTTTATCAAATGAGGACAAAGAAAATGGAGGAGTGGATGCTATTTTTGATGAAACTCCTTATCTCAGGCTCTTCCTTTCCCAATGGGGAGGACCAATCTACAAAGCTGATGGATTTGCCTTTGTGAGTGCTCTTCTTCTCATCCCAATATATATATTAGGAATAAGATACAAATTTGTCTAAAGAATATTCATTCAGAAGTAATCTTGTCCAAAAAATTTTCTTAAAGTTGAATGTTACCCTGAATGTTTTAATAAAATATAACAACATTGCTTCATACCGTTAAAAAACTGACATTGATGACCGTTAACATTTTTAATAGTAAATAGTGATGTTGCTCTATTTTAACACTTCCAAGCCAATCTTAAACCTAAAAGAACTTTTGGGACAATATTATTTCTGAGTAAAAACTTTTAGAAGAAATTTACATCATAACCCTACATTATATTCCATATGATCCATAAAAACTCTGATGATGTTCATACCATGCTATATTTTTCAGGCATTCCCAAAGAACTCTACCTTGGTCTCGAATTTTTCAACTGCAATATTGGAAGTGACTCAAAATGTGACGATGTTTCGTGAGATGAGGGAGACGATATCTTTACCCATCACAGTTGACAGGTCCGAATATAAAAGTAGTGTTGAGACGCGAAGTTTGAAGATAGGCGACTTTGGAGACCTTTTTCCAGTCGTATTGTTTGTTTTGGTTCTCTTCTTCGGCCTTTCAATTCTTGAACTTCCATCCATCGCTCCCTTGGTGCGTGACAGATTGGTTTCATGTTGGCGCACGTCTCCGGCGGAGAGGAGCAATAATAATAATTAATTAGTACCTAATTAAACATCTGTAAAATCAGTACGTGTGTGTAGCTTATATTATTGTGAATGGTCCAAGTGATAGGAATGAGGTGATGAAAGACTTCAAAAAGTTTACGACCTTCTGATTGTATATATGTGTGGCTTGGTGTTATTTTGTAATCAATAACTCTTTTAGTTGTCTCTTATCGTCAGTTTAGCTTATTATCTGGTCATCTTAGTATCCATCATATATGTTAAGACAAATATTGTTTTGTGAATTATTGCAGTTAATATGTGTATCAAATGGCTCGTTGGTTAGAATCTTTACAATTCAGTTATTGGGCTCTTACCCAATGTGTATGTAATTAGTTGTTGGACTCTTTGACATGATATACAATGTTAATCAAAAGGATGGAATTTAATGGAGGGCGTTAATTTTTTGGTAAACTAAAATTCGAATTCTCATAAAAAAAGTATTTACACTAAATACTCAATAGTGCCTTAAATAAGATTTTTTTTAAAAAAAAATTAGAGGATACATGTGTTTAGTGCTAAAAAAAAAAGAAGTATAATGTTGTGGACCTTTTAGGCCTCATCAGTAATAATAATTCATGTATTATTTCGTTTATGAGTGTCTTTGCATTATATATGGCTAGCACATGTATCGATCAATTTACGCGTTGTTTGCTCTTACATGCTTAGAGATCTTGTGGAAGTTTCCTATAATATTACCTCACCAATATATATATATATATATATATATTATACTATCTCCGGTCATTAATACAAGAGCTAGTTGATTAATTTGAATAGATTAAGAAAACTAGTTAAGTTAGTTATTTGTAATACACAGATATTATTTTTTTCTAAAATATCCTTACTAATTAAGTGTACTGGCTAGAATTACCATTGTTACAAGGACTATCTTAAGAAAAAATAGATAAATATAAAAGATAAAGTAAGTTGGGGACTTATATTTAAGACTAAAATAAAAGTTAAACAAAATCTTATATTAAGGATGAAGGTAGAATTATAGTTTCTCAATTATAAAGTAGCGCTGAAGGGAGTTTCGGAGAGAGAGGTCTGTAATGTAGCATTATTGTATTATTGCATTGGAATGAATTTGGCGGGAAATATCGATAAGTTTAAGAATAGTTAAAATCAAGATTAAAAAAATCTGGGAAAAAAGGACTAAAAAATACTTTCTTCAGTGCTAAAATAATTTATAAAATTTTAGGAGCAATAAGTAATAACTTTTTTTTGTTGTAAAATACCCCTAATCAATGAATGTAAATTAAAGACCTAGCTCATATTAGAGTTTAAAAAATATGAATATAACATTACTTTATATTCTAAATTTAACATTTATTGTTAACGACCTCTAGAATTTTCCAAAGCAACTAATTATAAATTTCAGAAGTTTAAATTGTCGTTGGCTACTTGTCTAAAATAAAAACAAAAAAGTTTCCATTGTATCGGGAAAAAAAAAACAAAAAATAAAGAGAATACTCTTACTTAGTTTAGTTGGCAAGGTAACTCAAATTTTATAGAGGGAAGATTTTATGCACAAAGACAAATAATTTAACAAAATAGAGCTACTAAATCATAATGATGGACCTCTGTTTTTAAAATCAAAACACGGCATTTCAAACTTAATTGATAAGCGAAAAAGCATAACTGGGTGGCTTAA